ACGTTTAATGCGATTGTAAAGCAATGGACGTCTGTTTGGTATGGTTTGGGGGTTAAGGGGGGCTCACCTGCGGGCGGATGACCTCCTTTCAAGTCAGAGCACTCTTCACTCGGAGCCGACATTATTAATGATATAATTAATTAATCGTTATATTAATTAAAATCTAATTTAAAACCGGATTTAAACGTGTGTTTTGTGTCAATCAGATAATGAAAGTCAAGCATTCATTTAAAGCACAACTCATTCACTGTTTACACAAAAAAAGTTATGCATTTATAATAAAGTCATTTATTACAGTAAGCGGTCGATGCTATCAACACATTGGGTTCGGCAATTTGCTTTATAACATCGATTAGTTCACATCATCGATCATAGTTTGACAATAAGTTAATGAAAGTTGGGTTAGGGTTTAGTTCATAAGATCACAAGTTCACAGCATCAATAGTTGATAACATCGATGGCGTACTGTACATGCAAAAAACCACTGCAAACACCTCTACTCTGCTTTCAACCATTATTACGTCCGGAATAGCGTTCAATGTTTGTCACATCAAAGCTGTAGTTATCGTACGTTTACATTGAAGTGCTCTCCAAATGGGGGCATATTTTTGGTCCACATTTGTTGTCGTTATTTATTGTCGGAAAACAAACCTTTATTTTGATATAAAAACATAACAAGTGTTTAACCAAAAACTGATTGCAATCTCAAAAGCAGTTATAATTAAAATACAATTAAATTAAACACATTTTGCATTCATTTAGATATTTATCGACAAATATATAGCGATTGACGAAATGGTCGGAGCAGTGGATCAGAGTATGTATTGAACACTCATTTCTTCTCTCTCTCTCTCTCTATTTTATTATTTAATGCTGATATTGAGATAATCACTAACATTAAATTAGACTTTACACTTCAAGTTATCAAGATCCAATAAATTTAAATATTGTCGCCAATTATATAATTACCAAATTTCTCAATATTTATCCAACAATTTATTTATTGCTATCAAAATTATTAGTAAGACTTAAGTCTTAAAAATAAACAAATTGTATTAAATGTTTACAACATTATATGACATTAAAGAGCGATATAATTATTGATTTGAAATTATTTTTATAATAATTTTCTTAATGATTCACGAAATTATTTTAAATATTTGTTTAAAAATTAATGAAATTGATAAATTTTATAAAATTAAAAATATAATACAAATAATTTGTAAATTTAATATAAATAATGTGTAATAACTAAATTCATTTAACAGTTTCATAATCTAAATTCAACGACATTTCAAATTATCGAGAAAACTATTTGTAAATAATATATAAATTTAGTATAATTTTGTCAAATAGATTAAAAGCTCTTATATAATAGCCATTGATTGCAATCATTTGCAGTTAACTGTTATACGACTACTGAATAGAGAGGCAATCAATAAATGTTCGGATATATGTTGTTATGTTAATTCACAGTAACTATAATAGTATCCAATGTTATGTTTGGTATCCTTCGTGACAAAAGTCTAGTGCAATACTTTTTCACACAGAATACACACCAATATATGTAATGAATTGTTAATTGCAATCGTAATGTCTTTATTTAAATTCAAGGACTGGTGGAGTGTCCCGTCGGCCGGTGGCGAACAGTTTGGCCACTATTCTCTATGTGTGGCCAATATAGACAACTCCATCGGCGGTTCCGGTCTGTCATCCTATCTATTCTTTGTTTCACAATTTGCTTCAATTATTTCTGTAATAATTAATTAAATTGAATTACAGATAAAATAATAGTCGGGAATTTGAATGGATTATTGAGATTATATAATGTCGGTTCAAATCCGACGGAAGAGGGTTTACCTGCTTTTGCGGCCAATGATTTGCTAATGGAAATGGATTTTAAGATTCCTATCCTTCAAATATCGACTGGACTGCTATTGTCGGCCACGACTAACATTCAATTGGCTGTTTTACATCCTAAAAAACTGTCCATTTACTCGATCTCTTGTATGTTTTACACAATTAATTAATTTATAAGCACTTCTAAATATGCGTGTTTTAAATGCTAGCAACGGCTGGAGTGACAGAACACGGGTCCGCTTATAATATACTTTTGATTTACGAGCATTTGCTACAGAGAAGTGCCTTCACTATGACATTAGGACCTTTTGGACATATCAGAGGTTTTTTAAAATTAAAACTAAACAACTTATTAGACTATAAATCATTAAATTATATCATAGGAAAGGATTTTTTATGCGTCCAATCATTGGATGGCAATTTAGTCTTCTACGAACAGGAAAGTCTCGCTTTCAATAGATTTCTTCCCAATTCTCTACTTCCCGGTGCGATGGCATACATAGCCCACAGCGACTCATTCATTGTGGCCACATCTTTGTGGACGATCGAGAGCTACAGGTATCAGGTGTTGGCCATCGCTAACACCGATGACAACACCAATAGCGGCCAAACGAAGGGCCGAAAAGTAACACCCGATTGGAGCTTATCTTTAGGCGAATCCGTAATCGATCTGAAAGTTGTTTTACTCGAGAAATCCAACCATTATATCGTTGTTTTGGGCGAAAGAAATCTGTATTTATTGAAAGAGAACGGAAGCATTTGGGTTATGAAGAAACTCGAGTTCAGCCCCAGTTGTATGACTGCCTATTCTAACGATACTAACGACGCGATCATATCGTTGATCGCCACCAATATCTCCACATTAATCATTTATAGCAACGATAGGGCGATGTGGGCGACACAACTGCCCTTCACGCCCATCGCTATACAGCGGGCCTTCTTTCCCAATCTGTTAGGGGCTGTCATTTGTCTCTCAGACGACGGATCCATTTGTTGCGGATATTTGGGCACAAATCCGTCCATAAAGATAGTATCGGTGCCCAACTCTCACGTAATAACTCAATCCAATTATTCAGAATCGGAATCAGAATTACAAGAATTGCGAACAATTATCAATTCACATAATCTGGAGGGCAATACAGTGGACACAAAAGTGGTTCGCAATGATCTCATGATAACTATATGTGACGTTCAGACAATATCTGGTGTCATGAGCTCCAAGACATCAAACCCTTTGTTTCAAATTTCAATCCAATTACAAACGACAAGTACTGTAAGCAATGTTCGCTTAGCACTAGAAATGCATAATTCATTAATTTGCGAACCAAACACTGTAACCATCCCTTCAATGAGTAACACATCAGATCCAGAGGTTTACGAGATAATAATTTACAAAAATAGTCAGCTATTTGTCGCCTCAACTAAAGTGGATCTCATAGTCTCGTATACCAACGAAGACGGCGCCCCCAGAGTTGTCTCCAAAAGCATTCACATCCCAATCAATATATTCTCAAAACTTTGTTCACCACTAAAAGAAGTGGAGCATAAAGTGTCATTCGATACGATAACCAGTGGTCAACCCATCAATTTGGCCGAAATATTTTCCGATATGTTTGACACCAATAACAACAATACCTCTGCAGTGGGTTTCGAGATATACGACGACCACTATATTGTCTCAATCTATACATCGATTAATAAATCAATGAATCAAAAGTTTGTGATTTTAAGCGAATCGTTGGGCGGAATGGCATTCATAGCAAACGAATTGATCCGACGTTTGGCTAAAAACAGTGTTAAATACGATGTCTCTAATTTGGACATCAGTTTTATACCATTAGCTAATCTGTTCGCTCTGATTGACGACCACCTGATGGCCAGACATCATGTGATGAATTTGCAAACATGTTTGGCCAATAGTGCCACACAATTCCGGGCCATTCAGAAGCGATTGCTTATTAAACTAAAGGACAGAAACCCGACGCCACTAAACAATCTTGAAACTTTACTTAAAGTATCGCAAACTCAGGTTTTTCACAATTCCTTTATTATTTCTTAACAATATATTTAAGAAAATAATTTAAACATAATTTATTAATTAATTTAATTCTAGATTAACGCATATTCAGAGAGTTTATTAAAAGCCACAACTGATTTACACAATAAGAATTCACACTTGAGTTCTGTTATGAAACTAATCTTCAATTTACTGCTCATTTCAAGAGAGAGTGAAATGAATTCATTGAAAAACATTCACTCAATTCTCACGAATTATATTTCTAATGATATCGAAGAGGTATTTAAGCAAATATTCAAATGTTTTATATAATACTTGTTTCATATAAATTGTAATCATTGTCTAAAAGGGTTGGGAAGAGAGAACTGAATTATGTTTGCATACAGTTCTGGAAAGCTATGGCAAAGATGGGCCCAAAATGAACGAACAGTTGGCTATTCCTGACACAAGCGATACTATTAAACGACTCATTAATATATTAGTGAATCGTATTTTCAAAGGAGAAACTATTAATAATAGGGATACGAGTCGTGAGACTAAAGGCAACAGAAATTTCAAACAAAATTCAATCATCAATGAAGAGGAAGAATACAACGAACTCACAGGCGATGAATAAAACGAGTCAACAAAATGCAATCCAATTCAGTATTTTTAGTCCATAAGACATAGTAATTGTGACAACAAATATATATTAACCGCTGATTTAATTCATAAAAATAAGAAAATCAAGCATTTATTGTATTTTCAAACATTTTGTGAATCAATACATAAAAATATTTTTAACTTCTTTTCAAATGTGTTTCGCATTCAATGGAAATGAACGACAAAACGATTGGGAGAAACGATGGCTTCATTTCCTCGGCTGATTGATGTTTTTCCCCATTTCCTTACCCTTCGTTGGATGGTTTTGGAACTCATTCTTCGGTTGCGGAGTCTTCTCGTGGAATGCCTTTACGGAAGCGGCCGGGAAGTCAACGTCACCCTAAATGGATCCACACATACAACCATTAGTATACAAACCATCGCAACAACAGCTAACAGACAATCGACAACAAGTGTCAACATCTCATTACCCGCGCGACGGCTCCGGAGATGACGAGTGGCGTCGGTTTCGCTACCTCTTCTTCGGGCACCTCTTCCTCGCCCTCCTCTGTCTCATCTTTGTTGGGTTCAGCGGCGGTTGGCTTCTCGTTGTGGGCGGTCTTGTGTTGAGTGATTCTCATTCCTCCGGCTTTCACTGTATTTACCATTCATTTTAGTTTCAAAAAAAACAAAACATATGTTTTTAATTAATGGCAAAAACGATTACATGTTTTCAATGATTGAACACAACGTTTAATGCGATTGTAAAGCAATGGACGTCTGTTTGGTATGGTTTGGGGGTTAAGGGGGGCTCACCTGCGGGCGGATGACCTCCTTTCAAGTCAGAGCACTCTTCACTCGGAGCCGACATTATTA